CGGCCCGGGAGGAGCTGGAGGGGCGGCCCGCGGTTGCCGGAGGCGTGGGCGCCTCTGCCTCCCTCCCCGCAGTCGCTGGGCTCGGAGGAGGCGCCCTGCCTGGAGGAAAGAAGAGGAGCTGCTGGAGAGGCTGCGGCTTCTCCTTCCCTGGAGGCTGTCCAGAAGAGGCTGGGTCCGCACGGGTCCCACAGGAGGTTGGACGAGGTGACTGGGAAGGTCCCTGCCAACTCCAGAGCTCGCATTTGCCCCCTCCCTCTCCCCTCTTTTGTCTACACCTTGTCTCCCTCGCCATAAGGCTTACACCACACTGTTTACCGCAGGCTGCCGCTGAAAGACCTTGGGGAACTCACCATCCCAGTAGCACAGGGTCATCCAGCCTGGTGCTACTGCAGTAACCAATGGTCTCATTAAAACTTCCAGGTAACTTTTCACTTGGCTTTCTCATTGGGTGCCAGCTGAGATGTGAAGGAGGTGGTGTTGGCAAAGCAGTCCTGCTTCTTGAAATGAGCTGAAATCGGCTTAGTCCATGAGAGACGATGAGCCATCTTTGGAGATAATGGAAATGAGTTTACATGTTATTCCAGGTTTGCAGCTTCAGAAGACTTTCAGCACTGGTCCTACTCAAAAAGCTCCCACTTCCATGAATTGATGAAGATGATGTAGCAAGTGGCAGAAAGCCTGCTAAAGTTAACTTCATAATAACCAAATCTTTGCCTAAAAAGCACCTTGGACCTGGAGTTTATGACTTGAGAAGACAGTTGTTACTGAATTAAAGGAGACATTCCCATGCTGTCAACAGACTTACATTTCTGCTGAAATATTTTCCAGAGAAAATAGTTTCCTTCCTTGACTTGGATAAATAAAAAGAAGTTGAGGTGGTTAGGGTTGCTAATGACAGTGTGGTAGCCAAACACTGGGAGAAATTATGTAGGGGGTATAGTACAAAGTATGGTTAGTTATGCATTAGAAACTGTCATGCATCTTTGCATGCTCTAGTCCTGTTGCTTTTAAATGCAACGTACTCTGCCTACCCAGCTGCTGTGATCTTACCTGATTTCAGGAGCTCAGGTAGATGAGGGTGTTTCAGGCTAGAAATGCAAAAAGCTGCACTGGGAGTTTGGCAGATAGTCCTCCACCTTAGTGATTAGCCAGTACCCTAGCATGGTGGTTTGGCATGCTGTGTTGTGCCAGGGTGCTGCTTTTCAGAAGAGGAGTGAACTGGAAGACCTGGACTCCTTTGGCTAACAGAATTGCCAGAGCATTATTTCCTAAGCGCAGTGTTTTATCCCATGACTGACTCAAATACCGCAGGTGATTGTATTCCGTCTCTCCAGATCTGTCCTGCATTTCCAGTTGGACAGAAAAATCTGACACCTGTATTAAAGGACCGTAAAAGGAATAGATAAAATTGGCTGCTGCTTTTAATAAAGGTGGAACAGGCACTGTCAAGATCTTTGAAGGGACAAATTCTTCTGACAACAGTGGTGGCATGGGCTTTGGCTATATAAAGCTTTTTTTGGAAATCTTCCATCTATTGATACAGCTGGTCCATTTTCACCACTGATGGCAACAGAGGGAAAGGCCACTTAAACACAGTCCTGACAACTGATAGGGGTTGAACCATATCTGGATGAGAAACCGTTGCTTCCTTGCTGGTGCAATGTTGCTGACAATCACGGTGATCATGGGAATTCTTTTGATGTGGAAATCCAATATAGAGCCGGCTGCCTCCAGGCCTCACAGCATTCATTATCATTTCCTATTCTTTACAGGTGTGCGCTAGAGCAAAGGTGCCTGTTTTTCAGCAACAGGTAATGTGTCCCTTTTGTGACCTTTTCTCAGGGTGGGTAGTGAGAGGTTTATTAGGCATTAAGTGAGGTAAGGTTTTTGACTATCATCTTGAGCTCGCTTGGTGTCATGATACGGAAGCACAATGTTAATTTTACTAAGCCTCATATACTTCACAAGAGGCTGAGCAAGACACCAAATCATTAATTTAACTGATCTTTCCCAGAAAATCAGAAGCCTGACTTCATAGCTTAGTACATTTACAGTCCTGCAAATTGTATTAATTGAATCCTTTTTTTGTTTGGCTGGGGAAAATTGATTATGCAGGTAATGTCAATATTTTTCATGCAACTCAGTCTCCTTGGCACTCTTTAAATATTACTACTGCTTTTTAAAGATTTTAGTCAGTGACTAAAAGTAATTGTAAAATGACTGCAGTAAAACAGCAATAAATTAACCTTTCCCTATTAGCTCATTGTTCAATGTCGAGGCCCTTTCTTGGGGTGCTTGCCCCGGGCTTGGAGTTGATTTTTCAGTCCTTGCCAGCCTTTCCAAATTCAATATATTTGTCCCTTGTTTATAACACTATTTTCAGTCAGTGTATTCTCATTTAAAATTCAGTTAATTTGTGCCATAGAGAGAAGCTTGTGGAACTGGGCTCCAACAACCTTCGCACTGGAAAAAATACGTTTTCGTGAGAAGGGTTTCCAGGATTGGGATGACTTCTTAGCAAGCCAGCCAAGCAGGTGTAGAGACAGTTTGCTGTAGGAGACTGGGAGCCCAGGTAGCTGTGCAGCCCACCTATCTGCCCGTCAGCTGGTTAGACAGTAGGAAATGCTGCTTGCCTTGTTTCTGTCAAAAATTTCAGTGGATTAACATATTCCTGCAGAACCTTTCATTTCTTCTGTATCTGTATTTTCTGATGGTAAGCTGCTCCTTCAGAGCATTTCAGGCAGCTCTGCTAATCGCCATGTAAATATAGATGCAAAATTGGTAAAACTTCTCTGATGGCCGGGCCCTCAAGAGTGAATCAGGGCTCTATGGAGTTATCTGCAGCTTAAGCCCAGCATGCAGCACTGTCAAGTCAGACTAGCAGGTCATACTAGTCTTTTTTAAAATAGGAACTAGTAATCATCATACGCTCCAATAATACATTAAGAATTGTGTATTGCTTTTCATCTGTAGATCTTTGAGCGCTATATCCCCAGCATGAGTGACTGGTGCCTCCTGGGTCTGGGGGGCACCCGCAGAAGCCACCGACAGCAGCAGCCCTGTCGGGGGGGGCGCTAGCCCTGCTGAGAGCATCAGTGTCGGCCATCAGGGGAACATGTGCACCCCCTACCAGTCACCCATGATCCCCATTTGACGTAAGCATGGGGTCTAGAAACCTGGTTTCCATTCCTAGAGAAGGTCTCGAACCAATAGGATGTTATACTAAAGATGGCAGTGGCAGCATCACCTTCCTCTGGCCGTGTTTTAAGAAAAGCAAGCACGTCCTTCCTTTGAAAGATCATTTGTGGGCACCTACCCTCAGGAGGAAGTTGTGGGATCCTGTGTGTACCTCTTTTGCCTTCCAGACATGGATGGTCATACTCTAGCAAGGCGCAGGTGTTGCAGATCACCCTTATGCTTAATGTTTTCTGTTGGCTGGGTCTGGGCATCTCCCCACTCTGTCTGAGTTTTAGCTTGTGCTTCTCAGGCATCAAACTCTTCTCAGGTTGTGTATGGAGCCTGACATGCCTAACTTTGTGTTCTGGATTTCCTTTGCGAGTCAGACCTCTAAAATCTAGGTGCTGCAGTACCTAACATGGAGGCACCTAGGTCTTTTTTTGGACCTAATGCTAAATTTGTAAAATAAATCTAAGTCTTTGAAATGGGTTAATTTGGATTAAATATTGTCCAGTTATAAATTCCTTTATCAGTTATCAATGAGCAGTGACTAGCAAACATCATGTTAATACAATGTCAGGTCAGATTAGAATGGAGATTAACATAAATATCCAAAACACTGGAGTTAGTCACGTACTTGAGTTCTTTATGGAAATGAGAAAGATGCAGCAGCTAGTAGCTGGTAGCCTTGACTTTAGAATCACTTGCTTACCCTCTGGACTTAGCATAAGAAGGTCTAGTGGCACGTGGATCCAGATAGTCTTCAAACCTGTCTGTATGTTTAGATACCACACTGCCCAGAGCTTCCGTGAAAAAGTGGAAAACATTTAACATTTTAAAAGATGTTATCAAATATTACCAAAAGGTGTGTGTTATTATACAGATATGAAACATTCTTAAATATTTATAGTTAAAACACTGCATATTTGTGCAGATGGATAAGAACCAGGAAATTACATTTACTACAAACAAGCCATATTCACTGATTTTTTCATTCCTTAGATGTACAGAAATAAACAATAAATAGAAACAAATGAAATGCAAGGTGGATTTTAAAAAACTCCCTGAATTTTAATAAATCTGTGTGTATAATTAACAGAAACAATTTGAAAGCAAGTTTTTATCTTGGTGGCTTCTCTTTAATTAAACTAATTTCTTCTATACCATCATGTTTATGTTGTACTTAGTCTGATTGTTCTGTGTAACAATGGAACACACTAGTGATGCTATCTTTGCAGTTAAAATTGGGACACATTAATACAAATATATACAAGTTCAAATTATTCATAATCTAGTATAAGGACAAATCTCCTTTTTCTCCATGTTGATCTAATGTTAAAGATAACCACAACTTTATAGGCTGATCTGGGTAGCAGACATTCTATACATGTCACTAAGCTCCTGAACTGGTGGCAAGGAGTTAGTCATTTACTGCTTTTGACTCAGCTAATAAATAGGGTTCCCAGAGCATGGAAAGCATTACTTACCTACCTCCATGTCTACAGTAAGCAGGATTGAGAGCTTTTGATGCAAGTCAAGAAAGCCACAAAGATAAGCTATGCCCCAAGCCGTGACCCTACAGAGAACGCCACACAAGCCAATCCCCAGTGAAATCAGTGGAAGTACTGAAGCACAGAAAATGAAGCGTGCATCCAGGAACTTTGCTAGATCAGAACCATGTCCTACCCTTCATGCACAGAACAATTTTGTAACTGTTAATTAAATGTCACAGCCCCCTTGTGTGGTAGGTATATATTACTGTAAACATTTTACAGCTGAGTAAACAGCTATGATCTGCTTTTATAGAAAAGGACTATAATATTTAAAGGTTTTTTCCTGAACACACCATTTTAATAGGTAATCGTATCTTTGTTACACAATTCTAAAGAGTGGATAAAAACAATAATTGGATTAACAATTAGAATAATAATCCTTATTATATTCTATTATTTTATTATACTAATCCTTAGCATATTCTTTATTATAGTGTTATATTCATTGAGCTTTTTCTAAAGGAAAAATGCTAGAATAACACTCAGGAGTCTGACTTTTATGTTTTAATTACTAGATATGATTTACTTCCAGGCAGGGGCAAAAAAAGTTGGGAGAAGATAATTTAATCAAATCTATAGAATTTCTTTTAATGGAAAGGCTTAGTTTTGTTTTCTATTCTACTTACCCCTGTTCTGCAAACTCAGCCAAATCTTCAGTGAAGTATCCTCTACTTACCCCTGTTCAGCAAACCCAGACTTCAGCCAAATTCTCAATGAAGGCTAAATGAAGTGTTTCATTGAGTTTAGGGGAGCTGTGTTGCTTAATGCCAGCCAGGCCCTTTAAGGAACCATACTGATCTTCATGATAATGAAATGTGAATTAATTGCCTTTGTTGTTGCTGGACAATGCTTTATAGAAATGCACGAAATCTCATAAGTGAGTCCAGTGCCCTTTAGGTGATAACATTTAAGAACGTTGCCCCCATAATTTTTAAATAACTGTTATTTGAATAACCAAAATACTTTCTAAGAGCTAGCTCTGAAGCCATTTGGTTTAACACAGCTGTTTGGGGTTAGCCCACGAAAAAAATTCTAGATCACCTTCAGAACAGATCAAACTGCAAAACGATTCCATTATGACACACACAACATAGGCCACTTATTTTGTTTTCATGTAAAATCTCAACTCAGTTTTTGGGCATACAGTTGTATTGCAGCATGCTCAGTGTTGGAGCGGCAAAGTCACCCCTACGGGCTGCTGCCTGTCCCCCACCTTGTTACCTGCTCTCTGGCCCCTTCAGGGTCCCATGCTGTTATCTTGCCTGCTGCACCTTGAGGTTGTTATTTGACAGGGAAGCAGCCCCTAGAGGGCAAAGTGGGGTTTGGGCCAGTTGGTCCTTGTCTGGGCTGAGGCCCTCTGGCCTTGGCCCACTTTACTCTGGCTGGTTTGCTTTGCTCGGGGTCCACACTACTTGGACCTGAGGCTTCTAGTCCCCAGCTCCAATTTCACCCCTTATGGGCTGTGGGCCCCTTGGTGACTGTCCTTTCCCCAACCCAGGCTCTGGGCTCCTTGGCCCCTGGTTTCGCCCTTGCAGGGCTCTGGGCTTGTGCCTCAATCCTTGTTGTCCAGTACCACAGTCCTCCAGAAAAACAGTAGTACTCCTAAGGTGTCGGGCTTTTGCTCCCCATATGGCCTACCAGGTCCCAGACTCTGGTACACTCTGTGGAG